GCTATTTTAAATACAGGAAAATTCACTTTTAAAATAGTTTTTTTCCTAATTATAAATGTGATCCCTACTTTTATAGAAGAATCTTTAAATTCAGAAAACCATGAAAGAGGAAAGGAAAACCCACCTTTATTTCCCTGCATCCAGAGGTGATCACTGTAAGCATTTTGTAATAAATATTCAAATTCCTTTAAAAATGTATGACTGTGTTAAAATTAAGCCACAGATATTCTAATCACACTTTTTTGACAGTAACACTGCTGACAGAGTTCTGGTTAATGGAATCACAGTGTGCAGTCCCTTCCTCTGACAGGTGGAAAACCTGAGGTCTGGAGAGGTGGTTACTCAGGTTCAAGTGCGCGCCTGGACCAGGAGGTGGGGGCACTTCCTCAGGGGTTGTATCTGTGTGTGTCTACAGTCTGGTCATCCTTGTGGAAACAGCCTTTGCTGTCTGAGCCTCTCCAAATCCCGTTGAGTCCTTCCCTTGATGGATGCCAGATTGTTTTCCATAGGCCACGTCTCTGCTTTATTTCTTAAAGTGTTATCAGATTTGCTGCTCCAGTGGTTCCCTCTCCGTGGGTTCCTCTGGTAGAGGCACTTGGAAGACTTGCCTTCACGTTGGGTGGCAGGAAACAATGGCGTGTGCGCAGCATCTTTGGGATTTGTGTTACTGGCATTGTTTTGGTCATCCAGTCTCCAAGGCAGGTTTAAGTCTTGAAGACGAAAAACAGACATAAGTCATAACCTGAAGCCTAAGCCAAACACCATGTTAATATCCCCAAATTATTAGCCCGGCCATAAAAGATATGTTGATCTTTTTGAGAGCTAACATCTCTTACTGGTCATTTCATGGATTAATTTTGTGTTTGTATTTAGATTTTAGGTTGTATGAGTTCTTTTTTATCTTTGTATAGTAATTGCTGCTTTATGCTGTAAATTTTAGAAAGTGCTTAAACACACACACAAATGTTAAGGAATCCAGATATAGCCCCAGATTTGACATTCAAGTGTCTTAAAAAAAATGGAATCAAACTGTTCTGCATATTCAAAATGTACCTTTTTCTAAAAAGTAAATACAAGATACACACTTTTCTTGAATGACTCAAGTGTTCAGTGAGATGAATCAAGTTGTTGGTCCCTGAATCATTTATTCTCACCATGTCACCAAGATGGCCCCCTCATATCTACTGTTGGATTTATCATCTTGATGAAGTGGCCTAATCCAGGAAAATCTTTCTGCTTTATGTTAAATACCTGGCCTTAGTACTTGAAGCTTTGGTCTAGTGGTACATGGTGATGTTGACAAGTAAATATGAGAAGCTAAACTAAAGATGGTGGACTTCCCTGCTGGCTCAGATGGTAAAGCGTCTGCCTACAATGTGGGACATCTGGGTTCAATCCCTGGGTCAGGAAGATCTCCTGGAGGAGGAAATGGCAACCCACTCCAGTATTCTTGCCTGAAAAATCCCATGGACAGAGGATCCTGGTAGACTGCAGTCCATGGGGTCCCAAAGAGTCGGACATGACTGAGCGATTTCACTTCACTTCACTTCACACTAAAGATACTATTGAACAAAATCTTAGGTCCTAAAAGAAGTTAGTGAGGTGACTGTGAATGATAGGCAAAAGAAATTTGCATCAGGATTTGTCTTTTGTTGGTATAGTTCATATTTGCTTATTGCTTCAAGTATCATGTCTTGAGGTTGTTTTACTTAAATCTAAGAAATTTCAGAGTGGTTGGGGAAGGCCTGTCCATGCTACCTAGCTAGTTGGTTTACAGTCTCCTAAGGGCTGCAGTCAAACCCTGCCATGGTAGTGTCAGTGGGATACAAAAAATTCAGTCCTAGAAACATGGAAGTGATTCATGGCAAGGTTGATGAAGTCACCAAAGTAGGTGTGCACACAAATAGCCAGCCACAAAATCCAGGAGTTTGGCTGTCAGTACATTTGGTTATGTATACATTTCTTTGTATGTGAATTCACATTATCCAAATTTATATAGTTGTGAGGCACTTGCCCAGTACATACAGCCTTTCCTTTGTAGGTACCAGACTTTTTTCTGTCCTGAATTTGTTGGTGACCAGAAACAAATTCAGGATAGGAACCAGTTGGTATCCATTAGTCATTATCTTAAAGTAAAGCAGTAAAACTATCATCAGTAATTATAGATGTCTTAAGTGCTGGTTATGTTATCTCTGACTTTGCAGCACTGGAAATGGCCAAATCTTTAGGTCTGGAGTCTGACCTCATGGTTTGGCCAGAACTGCTTCAGATCCTTAGATGTCTACATGCACAGTGCTAGACCTGATAGGGAAGTCACACATGGGAACTCAGTGCATTCCATAGGCCTTTAATATACAGTCTGCCTCCAAGGAAAGGAAAAAATGTGCACCAAGGAAAGGAAGAAAACTTGACAGCAGTAGATGGTGTCCCAGCTATTTCAAAACCACAGGAAACCTTCTCAAAACTGCAAGTCCAGTAGGATTGAATCACAGCATCCTGGACAAGGTACCATGTTTCTCATTAGCTAATTTAAATGAGAATTCAGAACTCTAATCCTCTCTTTCCCTTCCCCACAGAAAAAAGTTTTTAAAAAACAGGAAATGATCTAGGCCAACTAACCTGGAGGTGTGCCTTCAACAAATATGGAATTGGAGGAAAAGCTTGCCAAAGTGGATAAACTAATTCACTCCAGCATAAGTATCAGCTCTTGTGTCATTGAAATATTAATTATGGCCTGATTTCTCTGGAAGCCAAGCAGCAAGGGACAGACTCTGTGAAGAGAAGTGAAATATCAGTCTTACAGCAGAGTTCCCTGGAATTCTATAATATTGATCAACTGGAGTTAGGCCAAGGTTCAATTTCCTGATAACAATTTCCTGATTTAAAAAAGTGACTAAAGCCCCATGCTAGCTAAGCTGTAGGAACCAGCTTCTGAGATATGCAAATAACACTGTGATTACTATAAGGCCTCATGTATGTAACTGATAAGCCAGGACCAAAGTTTATAGTCTCAGCTCCTAGAGAGAAACTTCTGGTTCAGGCAGAAAAACATTTTCAGTGTTTTCTAAAATAGACTGGCAGAGTTTAGAGATCTTAAATTTTCAGTTTTGCTTTTGAAACGGTATGGTTTGAAGCTTAGCCTCTTGTTAGATGTAAGATGTGAGGTTGAATAGGAGGAATGTTAGTTTTATCCCAGATTATAAAGACATAATCATTACTTAGATTATTATGTTTTTAATTAGGGAAGCATTCACTATATCTACTTCTGTGCCTTAAAAGTAATCACATTATGTTTTGTGCTTTGTTTCTGCCATGCAGTGAGTTAGAATATTCTAAGATGAGATGCTTATAGGCAGATGACTTGCTATGATTTTGATTTTAAAAGTTTAATAAACCCTTTGGTCTATGTTGACAATGTGGTCTTTAAATTCTTTGTACTGAAAGGTACCCGTTTAAGAAGTGTACTAGATCCTAATCAAGATAAGTGGAATCATTAGCAAGCATGTGTCATCTGTCTTCTGTCCACCTCTTCTCAGTTTTTCTATTAAATAGCTTTATACATTTTTAAATTGAATCACCTAAATTATTAGTAATGGTTTAAACCTGAATCAACAGGGTGAAGTACAGACAAAATGTTAATTAACTACATAATATTTTAGTAGTTCAGAAACATAATTTGAAGTGTGATGGGTGAAGGGGGTCAAAAGGTACACATTTCTAGTTATAAAAGAAATAACCCAAGAGGAAGTAATGTAAAGCATGATGACTATAGTTAATAATACCATATTGCATATATGAAAGTTGCTAAAAGAGTAGAGCTTAGAAATTCTCATCACAAGAAAAAAGGTTTTGTAACTGTGTGGTGATGGATGTTAGCTAGACTTACTGTGGTGATCATTTCACAATATGTACAAATACTGAATCATCATATTGTAAACCTGAAACTAATATAGTATTATAAGTCAGTTATACCTTAATAAAAAGAAAAACATAATTTGAACTTTTGAGGTAACTACAAACTGATGATCGCAGTGATAATGAGACTTTGTTTAGAGTTTTTATGCAATATTTTCAAATACAGAAGAGTACAGAGAGTAATGTAATAAATATCCATGAAGTGTTGTGTTAGTTGCTCAGTCGTGTCTGACTCTTGACCCCATGGACTGTATCCTCTGTCCATGAGATTCTCCAGGCACGAAAATTGGAGTGAGTTGCCATTCCCTTTTCCAGGGGGTTTTCCTGACACAGGGATCAAAACCAGGTCTCCAGCATTGCAGGCAGACTCTTTACCATCTGAGCCACCGGGGAAGCTCATTGGAGCCCATTTTCATGTACTTATTGGCTATTTGTTTGTCTTTAGAAAAGTATCTATTCACTTACTTGCCTATTTTTTGATTGACTTATTTCAAGTACTTTTATTACAAGTATTGTGATTACCTTTGGGGGAAGAAAATTTTGTAGGAATGAATTATAATGTATGGGTAGAATGTATGAAGAATTGACTATCACATAACACACAAAAACAGTGAAACTGGTTATACTAATTAACATTACTCATCTATATGTATTATTGAAATGTACAAATTAGTTTACAGCTTTAGTGCCAGATTTTAAAACATTGTGAATGTTTGTTATATTTCATTGTATTCTCCTTAGAGTGTAATAATTGATAAAGTTTGCATATTTGTAAACTGGGATCACACCTTCTTTAACTGTCCTGTCTAATACATATCCACAAGCCACGTTTGGCTGTGTAGGTTTAAATTTAAACTTAATTAAAGGTAAAAACTCAGTTCCTCAGTCACACTTGTCACATTTCAAGTGCTGGATTGCCTTTAAGGGCTAGTGGCTGACACACAGGACAACACAAATACACATTTGCATTGATTGCTCAATGCTGGCTGGAATTATTTTATTCAGTTGTCCTCAAGTGACAGATTTTAAAAAGAAAAAACTGAAGTGCCATTTAATTAGGTTGTTTCCGTACTTACGTGTCTTACCATTGTTCTGAGATGAAGACGAAAAACTTGAACATGATCCACAGGGCCTTTCCTGACCACTTTTCTCTCTAAGCAGAAGTTCTCAGCTGGCAGCTTGGCCTGTATACAAGTCGAAATTTCCAGCTTTTCTAAAACAGTAGTCACTGTTTATTAACTTATAATCAGTTGCTTATAATCAGTATATGGAAGGAACTATTCTAAGTAGTTTTTTGTGAATTAATTCATGTAACCTTTACAACAACCCTATGAACTAGGTGTTATTAGCTTTATTTTACAGAAAAGAACATAGAAAAACAAAATAGTGAAGTATGTCATTGAGAGACAGACAGCTAGGAAGTGACAGGACTGGAATTTCAGTTCAGGGCAGTTAATCTAGATCCTAGATCTCCCCCCATACTCATGACCTGTGCTGTCCTGCCTCAGTTAGGCTCTTAGGGTAACCCGTACCTCCGTTGTTCAGATTTTTGCATTTATTTGTAGGATTGTTTGATTGCAGTCTCTTTCCCCAACAAGAAAGTTGTAAGTCCCATGAAGGAGAACTGGGTCCTTTCCCCGGTTGACCATTTTGACATATAATAGGTAGTTGATGTATGTCTGTTGAAGGAATAAGTAAAAGTAGTTTGACATGACTCATCACTGAGCTTGAACATGATACCAGAACCTTTTAGAAGCCAAAATATTTAATCCTTTAGTTCATTGTCATTTGTAAAATCAGGGAATGATACTGAAATTTCAATAAAGCAAGTTGAATTCTAATATAAAAAATGTGTAACTTCATAATGCCTAGAGATTTGTTTTTGTAGTTTTGATCACAAAGTATGAGAGCAGGTATTAATTAGCTTATGTTCAGTAACACTCATCCATTATGTCAATAATTAAAATACACTGGCATATGTAATCTAATTAAAGTTATGTTTATAATAACTTGTTAATTTATTTAAAACTTTTTAACAGCATTCGTATTTTGTTATCAAAAGAAAATACATATTCTGATTTGAGCCACATTGAATTTTTTATTTCTAAGTAAATCTATGTAATCATTAAGAGTGGAGTTCAAACTAAAAGCATTACAAAAAATGGAATTTTATAAGAATTTTTTTGGCATTTAATTAATAATCATAGTAAACTTATTTTGAAGATACTTGGCAGCTCAGTTTCCAAATTTTTACTTTTGTGATAGGTTATAATTAAACTAGTTTCTTGCTATTTGAATGTATGTTTGATACGATATAAAAAGAAAATTTTATTAAGTTGTATGAAGTATGGCAACAATATTAATTGTAATTGTGTCATGAAAAAGCAGAATGTTTTTTCCTTTGATGATATTAAAGTAATAAATCATGGTGAAGTCAGGAAATTTAAACAAAATATGAAACATTTTCCGTTACTTCTAGTGGATGTTTTTGAGAGCTACTTGTTAAATGGCAGTGTAGAACTTAGTTTTAGGTGAGACTAAAAACTTAGAGCACAGAGTTTTGAATGACTATGAGATCCCTGAAACCTACAGATCTCATCCAGTTTTTTGTGCAGTGTTGCAGCTTACGAAGAGCTGTGGGCGGTCCTCTAAGGTTGGGGTTCAGAACAAAGTGGCCTGCATTCCAAATCCAGCTCTTCTCAACTAAACCACAGGACGGAGTATCAGTTAAAGTGTAATAAATTAGTACCTGTTACTTGGCAAACTGATTTTGGGAAGCAGTCTAGAAGTATACTTGAAAGATGTATCTTTTATGTTACCAGCAACATGCCATTGTCATGAAGTATGTAGAATAACAATGATTGAAGGCCATTCTGTTTGCTTGGGATGGTCCCTCTTCAATGTGTAAAGCTTGAGGATAGGTCGTAGACAGTGTGTGAATCCAGGGACTGTCCTTATAGGTTGACTACAGCTATTTGGGCACTGGTCATTTCAGGCATAGCTGTGTGTGCAGAGAATACTTACTGTCAAAATTACGGTAACATTTTAAACTCAAAGAAAAGTATCTTCCATGTAACTTGTATATAGCTTGATATTCCTGTATCTGTTTCCAGCCCTCTGATACATGCCTTAAGAAATGTTGTATCAACAGCCTTATATATGGTATAACTGTAAACAGAATACAGAGAAGTGGCCAGAACATGGAGTTTATCACACAGTGGTTCAACCTCTAGTAGTTAGTGGTGACCACACAAGCATGTCAGCTTTGTGTAAATAGTTAAAAGCAATTGCAGGTGACATAGTGGAGCCTTAAAGGCCATAAACAGGACATTCTAAACTAGCACAAAGCCTTTTTAAAAGTGCATTTTGTAAACTATGTAATGCTTCTGTATATTTTATCATTTACCAGTTGTCTGTACCATCATCTTTTTAAGTATACAATGTTACCATTGTATGTGTTCTACACACCAGGAAACAGACTGAAAGAAATCTATGACTTGCCTAGCATCTTGCAGCTAGTACATAATAGAATGGGAATTCAAACCTTAGTTTTCTGATGTAAAAAGAAAAGGCCTCTATTTTACCATGCAGCTGTTGTGAGTTAATGTGGGTGATGTCCTATGTAGAAGGCTCCCATGGGTTTAGAGTTTTGTTTTGTTCAGATGTGGTGTTTATATCATCATTCAGGTTAAATTTTGGTAGATTTGTGCTAACAGAATTTGGGTGTTGGGATAGCTTCTGCAAATACTGTTCTGTACTTTTTTTTTCTTCATCCATTTCTGTTTGCTGAGTACAAGACTTTGCACTGTCCCACTGGCAGGCACACTCTTAGATCACAGACCCAGTGATGTCAAAGGAATGAATGAAAAACAGATTTGGCCAATGTTTGTGTCTTGTAAATAACTAGTGATGAAATATAGCATGTCTGATAAACTAAGTAGAAAACTCCAGAGATGTTCCTAAATCATAAATGAAAAGGCTGACTTGTTTCTTCAGTTTGGGAATTATTCATTTATGAATTCATTCCACAGAACTAGATCATCTTCTAGGTAGAACCTCCACATTTTTCAGTTTCTTCCCTTTATACCCACAAGTTTATCACTACAGCTCACTAAGTCATTCCTAACCACTGTCTGCATACAGTAGATTTCTGCACACATACGCTACTATCAGATTTCACATTGTCATGAAACCAGATTATAAAATATTTTTGAGGGAGAGCTGTAAGATACAGATAGGGTATGAACTTTAAAAATGTATAAAAGTTTAACAAATATTTGTTGACCCTATGATGTGCTTGGGGCATCCTCTTTTTTAGCACTCAATAGCACACATTATCCTTACTCAGATTCCTTCACCATTTCCTCAGCACTTCCTGCATCTTCTTCAGAGATGATGATTCTTTTGTTCTTTCTCTGGCAACTGAGGCTTCTCCAGAGCTGGTACCTTGCTGAAATCCCTTACATACCATGTGCACTTTCCTTATTTTTTTCCCCTTCTTTACCACTCACATTTTCCCACCAATGTGAGGAAGCAGCCATAGGGAAGAAGGGACCACCTGACTCTGTCTTACCTTGTTTGCTGCTTTCTGTCTCACTGATACCCAGGTCTCCAATATATGGTAGGATATGGTAGACAGCTCGTAAGGTAGCCTTCTATGATCCCTGCTTTCTGGAATTCATGCCTTTCCCTTGAGCAGGGTCTAATATTCACTTCTATTAAATAGAATATTTCTGTTGGGTGATAGAATGTCACTTCCAGCAACAGCAATGTTAGCAATATCATGATCCTTGATAGCTTTGTGCTGGAAGAACTTAGAATTGGCCTCGGAGTCAGGAAAAGGACTAGGCCTCTGACTGTTTAAAATGAGCTGTCCAAAAAGGTGTTGATATCTGAAAACAGACAGGAACAGGAGAGCCAGGCTCTATACCTTCAGTAGAAGATTTGTCTCCACTTCTGTTGGCTACCTCTGGTCTTGGAGGAGGTAGTGCATCTCTCTGAGCCATTATTTTCTCATTTCTACAATGGCTAGAGTTCAAATTTAGGATTGTGCTAAATGTCTTCAGTCCGCATTCTCTACATCCAGATATTTAATATTTTGCTTTTTGGTAAGGATGTTTAATTTACAACAACAACAAAATCTCATCTGGGCAAGTTAATTATTTCCTTCGGAAACCTTATGTTGCAGATATGAAATTTATATACCCTCTTAAATATTCTGATATTATTTCTCTGGATATTAGCATATCTGGGTGTCTCTTTATTGAGTTACTGTTTATAGTAACTTCCTAGAGATATACTTTTTATAGTTGTGAAGGCAATTTGAATGTGGTCACACTATCTTAGTCTTCTTGAGTTTGTGTTCCTGACACGTCAAAAAGGTTTCTGAAGCTAAAAATGACTTGCTCGATACGTGGCCCTTTCTGTACGCTGCATGTATTTTGTTCCTCCTGTGGAGCTGGCACGATGTACCTGAAACCGTCTTCTGAGCTCTAAAATGTTGCTGGTATCTAATAATGGCACGTGAAATACTGACGGGGTTCCCACGACCCTCTGGCCACCTGCTATAACTGGACACAGGCAAATGGCTTTTTTTTTTTTTTGCCATGATCTCTCTTTTCTGAGCCTCTTCCCACTCAGGTCTCCGTGATTTATTAAGTTTCTTTTCAATGTCAGTGTTTCAGAAACTAAATTCTACTAATTTCCTTTGAGCCCATGTATGTGTGTTAGTTACTCGGTCATGTCCGACTCTGCGACCCCATGGACTGTAGTCCACAGGGCTCCTCTGTCCATGAAATTCTCCAGGCAAGAATACTGGAGTGGGTAGCCATTCCCTTCCCCAGGGGATCTTCCCAACCCAGGGATCGAACCCTAGTCTCTTGCATTGCAGGCAGATTCTTAACTGTCTGAGACACCAGGGAAGCCCATTTAAGCCCATGTGGTTTACAAAATTTTCCTGTCTTTGAAATCAGTGAAAATATTTTTAAAGCTATATTTATCAATAAAACAAAAGTAGATATGGTAAAAATAAAATTATGTTTAGGAAAACATCAACCAGATATAGGAGGAAGATGTAAAAGTGAGGGGAATCTGGATTCCTCAGGTTTGGCTCCTGTGCTG